AGACAGCCGTCTTTTTATAATCACATTTCAGAATATATTTTCCCCAAGTCAATCGCAAAGAGGTTTCTCATCTGACACGAAGTGTTGTCCATAAACCCGTAGTTGGGGTACGAAGTTTGTCTGTCGGGATTATAGAGTCAACATAATAATCTAGAGCGAAAGTCCCATGCATTTGGCCACGACGGAATGGCGAGGCATAGACGCTTGGACATAACGGCGGCCTATAGCTGGCAACCCATTTTGGTTGCGACGCCTTAATATGCACAAAGAAACAGCAAAACATTGATAATTTCTGCACCGCGCTATTTTTCTTTTTTACTTGGCAGAAATTCACCTGAATCGCGCGTTGACAAAATCAAAGTTTACAAGCGCTCGAGCAACTTCAACTTCTCGAGGCAAAGCTAACACGCCTAAACCAGCCTATTTAAGCATGCTTCCAGTAATATGCTAAAGGTATTTCCAGACTAACATTTACCGTTATATGCCACAGTGTTCTTGCAATGTCGATGAGTAGATTCTGCATAATTTTTATGTGCGCGTTTGAACATTGAAAAATCGGGTTCAAAACTTCGATCCACGAAGTTCCTTCAGCGTGGCGCAAGGGTGCTCCGGCATACCTTAAGTTAAGCAAGCTTTATGTTATCAGTTGCACTCAATATCGGTGACCTAAATCTGGTCCCAAATCGTCGCTTCGCCTGTTATGGCTTATCTGTCGACACCTTTGTATGGTAAGGGGTACCAGTTCTCCTAAAAAATTGTGCAATGTCCATCGTGTCCGCACTTTATCCCAACCTGTCTTTCGCCCTGTTAGCCAAAAAAATTAGGTGAGCATTTGTACGGTGAGCTTTTGTCCGGTTACCTAGTGAGCTCGTGCACAAATAGAAACTCAGTGCGACGTCAATTGCTTTCTCATAGAGACGCAGTTAATTAATCTTAATTCTTTTTCTTTTTTTTTTTTACTCGCCTTGCAATTTTTTTACATCTCTTTTAAGCATCTCTGATTGTTCTTCTCCACCATGGCAATCGCTTCGCTTTTGCTTTATGACATACCGCCCCCGTCGGCGTAATCTTTCAGTATTTTCATGATAAAATTGATACCTGAACGCTAAGCGGGGGTCACACTGCTCATAAATCCTACGAAGGACGGTCTGCGGACAGATTCGAACGCGAGTCACCGCGAGGTCTATTCTTCGAATGCTGCAGGGCAAAGAGTTGAAGAAGAGAAATGGCACGCGGCATTTGAAACACGGATTTCGCGGTGACTCGATCGTGTCTGTCAGACTGTCTTTTGTATGAGGTGTAAGCGGTGTGAGCCGGGTTTCAATCTAGAATTCCATGTCGGACCTCTGGACCAAAAAGGAGCAAATTCCATTCCGTAGATCTCCTCATTTGTTTTGTATCCAAACGTTTGCTTGGCAGACTTTTTCTTTGCAAATTACCTAGATCGATCGCACACACAGTTCGGAGTGCACAAAATGTGTAATATGGTGCGATAGGCTTAGCAGACCTCGTAGGAGTATTTTGCAATTTTTTTTTTGGCCACCTCAGACACCACACATCAAGTGTACTCCGAATTTATCCGTGGGATCATGGTAAGTTTATTTTTCTTTTGTTGGCAGGGGCGCAGAAAAAACTGAGGTTCTGTCTCTTGCATTCCACTGTGAGGGCTTATAAAGTCGGAAGTAGTAGTACGCGACGAAATGACGCTCCTGACCTTGCCGCGTGAAGACACTGCGGCAGTCAGCCTAGAGGAAAGGCAAGAGGCTTCTATTCAAACAGGGCTTGTGCCCGCGCCCTATTGGGCAAGCACATAGAAGACAAAGATGTTGAGACAATTTAGGAGTCCCGTGTATTATAGCGAAAGCTAGAGCACGAGTTCATAGCACTGCAAGAGGATCTGGCTGCACGAGAGCTCATGCAGCGGGATTACGTTGTTTCGCTTTTCCAGACTTCACTCTATCGTGACAATCGCTCGCTCAAAATGTGTGTTAAAAAAGAAGGGTTTTTAGGCCACGGTGGAAGAAACACATTTTTCTTCCACCGTGCTCCACGCCAGACTCGTCAAACCAAACAGGTCTTCAAACAGAAAGGAGCGAAAACAGGGCGCGCCATCTATCGGTTTTCTTTCCAAAGAATTCCCGCGTCGACGAAGGAGCCACGCGTGCACTGATCGCTCTAATCCCCACCCCCGTTATCGGCCCTTACGCTTCCCTTAGCCTTGCCGCCGTGGCCGGCCTTCCTCCCTCTTTCGGCCTCGACACCCCTCCTGGCCCTTTTGCAGTCGTCGGCCTAGCACCCGCACTCGGCAGTTCCGGCTCGCTCGGCCCTAATCCACGCTCGGCCCTTCCGCCAGGGTCGGCCCAGGGGGGATGCTGCCTCCGGAACCGGGGGGGCAGGGGGGGCGTCCGCCCCCCCTCATGTTTTTTTCGTGGGGGTCATGCCCCCCCGACGCTGAAGGCTGACCCACAATGTCTTGTTCAAGATGGCCGCCGTGGTAGCAACATGCTACCGCGCGTTCCATGCTTGAAGCGGAATAAGAAAGGACAGCGACGTTTTGTCGGGACGAGAATTGGTAGTAAAGCTGGAGTAAACGTTTCTTCTGAGCCAGCCTTGAGGCGCGCGTATTGGTCGCATCTTAATCACTGGCAGCGGGACGGGGACAGCTTAGGAAAGGCACCTTTCTACCATTCCTCGTCATAGGAAAGGATGGAGGGGAGGAGGCCTCCCTCCGGCTCTGGATAAGCCTCCCCAAAAGTAAAACCTCTTGCCGCGGGAAATTGGTCTCTGGCAGAGCGCTTAGACGAACAGCAGTCCGGAGCATATGTCCTTGGAGGGACTGCACACTCTCTTTGACGCGTTTTGCTTGGGATCGGCTCTTCCAAACTCGGCGATGCGAATACCGTGCCAATTAAGCGCACTGATCCCTTAATGGCCGGAGAGGGTTCAGAGCTGTCCTAGCATGGGAGGCGCCCCTTGAAGTTTCTGCACGACGCCTAGACGCGAAAAGCATTTTCGCCATCCGTCAATCATTTTCGTGCTTTTGTTCGGTGTGACAGGAGAGGCCACGGAAACGCTCCTGTGTGCTAGAGATTGTGAAGATCTCTTTTTGTTACTCAGAAAAGATTTCGGCTAAACAAAGGTCGCTTCCTCCATTCCGGTTTTTTCGCGCGTACGATCATTAAAGGATAGGGGGGGGGGGGGGGGAATCTGCACTGCAAGGATGTGAGCCTTGACCCCCCCCCCCCCCCCCCCCCCCCGATCAGAATTGACTTCCGGAGCCCCTGGTCTTCTTCTTCTACGTCTGGAACTACCGAATGTCCTGAATCACGCTCATCCATCTCCTAGACGCCAAGAATTATTTTCTTTTTCTTTCAGGTCTAAAGATGGTGTTGTTGCATAATTCCTGACGATATGATCGGCTTGAATAATTTTCCTAGTTACTTGATTACTGTGCCTACCTAAAATTGTACAACATGGCAGGTGAACCTCGCACCCACAACCACGGCAGTGTATGCCCAGGAGGCCAGAATTAGCTCTGGTGCTATTTTTTTGTGTTCACGGAGCCTAGCAGCAAGGCATCGTCCCGTCTGCCCTGTGTACATTTTCACGCACGAAAGGGAGTACACCATTTCCTCTGCGCTTCTCTGTGGTAGGAATAAGGACAGTTCACTTGTTTGCACTGGTTGGAAAACCTATTAGGAGCAGAGAAGACAAAGTCGATGTTAACCTTATCTGCGATTTTTTCGAAGCCATGAGAGAACTTGTGTATGCAGGGCAGAACGACTGTTCTCGTGGTTCTATCCCTGGCTTTTGGTTTGACAGATGTTCCTTTGTTTTTGGTTTTTAGGATGCTCTTTGCAATCGATCTTAATAAAGACATGGGTATCCGGCAGAGGTTAATCTTGAAATTTGCACATCAAAGCTTACTGAAATGGAATGCTCGCAAGTTTTTTGAGGCGAGTTTTTAGACACAATTTTGCGATACCTCTTTTTACCAGCTGCTGATTTGTAAGGAAGAATCGGTTTTTTCTCCTTGGCTCATGTGTCCAGCTCCTTACGTGTATGTCATATGTCCTCACTCTTTACGTGTGTGTGTCATATGTCCAGCTCCTTACGAGTGTGTGTCATATGTCGCCACGTATGTTCATATGTCCTCCCGCGTGTTCATATGCCCTTACGTCTGTCATATGCCCTTACGTGTGCGCCATATCTCCTTACGTGTGTGTCATATGTCCTCACTTCTTACGTGTGGAAGGAGTGTACGTTTGCAACAGTGCGCCGTAGTGTGTGTTAATAAGGTTATCGCGTTGTACCTCTCGCATGAAAAGCAAGTTTTGAGAACATAGCTCTAATGAATAGCGTCTTCTTTCAGATTTTCAGACGCGAACCTGTCTTACGCAATTCTCTAAACGGCTTTGAGCCTACTTAATAAGTAAATAAATGTATGTTTCTAAGTGCGCTAGATTCTCATAGTGGTTGGGATCAGTGTATATTGCTGAGCAATCACACAGAACGGGATTAATGGTTTCACCCCTTACTATAAAGAAATGGGGCTCGCAAACATCTAGAACATCGCGAAGACTGTGCGGAGCACAAGTTCTTTTGCTTCTTGCGTTGATACCAAACCGCCGAGCTCTTATTGGCTAATCGAACAAAACAGTGGGCAGACTTCGAGGCATCTAACATCGCGGTCTACCCGCTATCCTTTCAATTCAAGCCAATCACAGCTTGGCGTCGTTCTGACGTAAACTCTTTCTCAAGAAGCAGACGACTTGATCTCTGCATCCATTGCGTGGTCTGCTTGCGAAGACTCCAGGTCCGCTAGGGTAGCCACTGTCGCCGGTCGCTGCCGCTTCCTCAAGTTTTCGGAAGAGCTTCCAGTACTGGCAAAGCTACATCATACGTGATAATATGGCTAAGCTGTGGTTACTGTAACACGCAGCTTATCTGGTGGCTTTGTGTCAAGCTTACGCCGAAGAAACCATTAGAAAGCGACTCACTCGTTCAAACGACCGGGTCTCGTTGGAGTCCTGACTGCCGTAGTGCGCAATCGCGCCCTGAACAGCGCTGCTGGCAACGAGAAACAGGACCGCGAAATGCATACCGATATCACGACCGCCGCGCTGGCGTAACTACGCGACTATGAAATGGAAACTTCGCGCTGCTTCCCAAGCTTTTCTCTGAGATAATGCTGGCCCCTGCAGTTCCACTGATTGTGCGACAATAGTGGGCGTCACACGTTCAAAAACACTTCACCAGTTCGGCATCTAATCATCTCTTTCTCGACGATCAGAAAGCTCATCTTTGGCGCTGATAGCTGCGCATAGCCAAGTCCAACGGCGGCTTTATCAATCAGCTTGCGAGATTTCTTATTGTGTTCGGTGGAAATGAAAATTAATGGTCAGCTTCTTCCCTGACGTAGAAAGCTTCTTCATATTTGGAAATATTGAAGTTTGTCACAGAAACTATTGATGCGTACTTATCATAATGCATGCCACAAAATTAACAAATACGTTGAAGAGCGGGCGTTATTATTTTGAGAAATTTAATTAATATTCGGTCTGGTTGCCGAACACCGAAATCTCAAATAAAGTTAATGATCCTCCTAGGGCCGGTTGCACTAACGCCGCTTACCTTAACCCAAAGCGGCACTTTCCTAAGCCGGCTTAGCGCCCTAAACCGAGCTCAGGTAAGCACGGGTTTAAATTCCGGTTGCACCAACGTTAAGCCGGCTTTACACACGCGCCCCTAGCTAAACGCTGGATTTGCGTAGGGAATCTAGGGACAAACAGAGCAAACTAGGGAACACTCAGGGCGACGAATACGATTGGCGGAGAGGAATCACGTGATGTAAACAAAAACAACGAAAAAAAAAACTCGTCGTCGGCGTCTGCTTTTCGCTGTACTTCTTCGGTGAGTAACAAATTTAAGGTCTCCAAATTCAATCATTTTTTCGTTTAACTTTGAATAACAGAAGTCAAAGCTTCAAATAAACACTAATGCTCTTTACATCTGTGATTGTGTGCTTAATATCGGTTGATAACAGGATATTTTGACAGTGGAAGTAGTTTTCGTGCTCACATTTTGAGGCGAAGGAGCCATCGGGGGCCCCAAATTTCACCGGACGCGAGGACACTCTACTCGCTACATCGCTAAAGACAAAACATCATGGATATAAGTAGGCAGGTAAGATGACTACTAAAATCAAGTCAAGCCTGAGACCGATGAAGTTCAAAACAGTGACGAACTCGCCACGGCAGCTGCGAAAATGCCCGGAAATCGTCGAATAGAAGTCGTCGAGAGGTCAGGTCACGAGACCTTGCATCGACGGTACTCGTTGCTATCAGCAAGGTGACAGAATTGCACTGTACCGTCGTTGAACATCCGCTGCAGCCTCAAACGAACTTCAGTTTCACACTGTCGAGTTCAGAAAAAAAAAAAACTCCCACTAGTACATCACATCGTGCCGATAAGAACGGTCGTCTCTTCGCATCACCTGCCCCAGCCTGCCCCGATACAGCAATGAACGAATCTAACATAGTAGTCATTATACGATTTGTCGTCGCCACGAATGAAAGATATAAAGCAAAATATTCCTAAAAAATCGCGATCCCCAAAAAAGTTACGGAGGACACAACAAGGCGCAACTTTCAACTGAATTTTATTGAAAACGTGTTCCGGTATATAGTCTGAACCATCGTCACAATGACAACAAACGACAAAAGTAAAGGGAAAACACCATCAAAAAGTACAACTGGGAAACAACACTATTTCGTTCTCGGGAAACGAATGAAAGATATAAAGCAAAATATATAAAAAAATGCGATCACCAAAAAAGTTACGGTTATGGAAAGATACAGTTTTCTAAAGCCAAGATTCTACTCGCGAGATAAGGAAAATTCACTGAAGATTGTCTCAAAAATCAGAAAACGAAAGAAATTAAATTTTCGCTATTTTATTTCTTAAAAGCGCCACAGTCTATAATGCAAACGGCAGAGGTGTCGGCAATCAGCTGATTGCCGAGATCATGTACTGCCACTATTCAACGCGCTGATCGGATTGAAGGATACGCGCTGCAAGTGTAAATAAACAAGCTGGTAAATAACAATACGTTACAGTTATGCGAAAATTAGTAAGTACATACGAATAAGCTGGTTGACAGAAGAACCAACGGGAAGACAGACGTGAGCCCCACAGCTCCGTACGTATCTCGGTTAGGGCTAACACGCCCTGAGAGTGGAGAGCCAACTTGAAAACAGGGGTCGATAAACACTTCACGCGACAATATTTTGCATCCTTGTCACAATCGAAGGTCACTCTGTCGAGACTTTCGCGCTGATGTAGCCTAAAACACTTTGCAAAACCAATTTCGTCCACCGCGTCGACCGCGACAAACCAGCCGCCATGTTTTTAATCCAGGATTAAGAAACAACCAGAAGCAAAGCGCCCAATGTTGAGCGCTTAAGTTAAGCGTAGTTTAGTGCTAGGTTTAGCGATAAGCGAGTTTGGTGCAACCGAACGAAACCGAAACTAAGCTTAGGTTCCCGGCTAAACCCCGCTTTGCGCTAAGCGGCGTTGGTGCAACCGGCCCCTAGTATTGCAATATAATAAGTTGTAAGTTTTAGAAAGATAATAAAACCAAGCAAAACGTCGCTTTTTAAGGCTCCTGGAGATTACAAGATAATGGAAAATGTTTACCTGTTTCGACGCCAGAAAAGATGTGGGGTGATTTCAGATAAGATCGACCAAAGGGTGGCTGGTCGACATTTTTAAATCAACTGATGTTTTTATATGACATTGTCTAGTGTCTGGTATAAACGAATCCACACTTAGTTTTGACCAGAAAAAAAATTTGGAGACAAGAAAAATCGTAAGGCAGGGAGAGGTGGACAGTTGCAATAACGCGCACTGATGGAGGGGGCAAGTTTGAAAGTGAATAATTAAAACAATAAAATTAGGAGAATTTTAAAACTTTTTACAAACAAACTATGGGTACAACTTGCTTGTAATATAAAGTAATAATATTTATTAAAAATTTATTTAGTTTTCTAAAAATTGCCAAACATGCCTGCTCGAACGACAAATGGCAAAATTTGGAAATCTGTATCTCATGAAATAATTTAATCATTATTACATAACTTGCAGACATTATTTTACTAATATATGGCTATTATTGAAAAAATAAATAAGGTATCTGAGTGACACAATAGTTACAATATATTTAGGCAAACATGGGAAAACAATCAAACAAAGAAAAATTCCAATGCAAATAAAAAAAAAACACCACCTTCGATTTTTTTTAATTTGGGTACCCTGTTATACTCTATTTCGGCATTCATTTCTATTAAAAACATGTTGCATCATTGCACTGTGAAAGAAGAAACAACTCCCCAAAGTAGGGTCCTTTTTCAAAGCCTACACTTAGCAGTGTCCTATACAAGAAGTGACTCTGAGTTCCAGTTTCATGAAACTTGCACAAATCTTTTATATACATTTATTCAGATGAGGTCATTGATAAAAAGAGCGATCGGTCACACAGTAAAAGGGAGGAGAAACAATATACAGCATTTTACATAAGCGTACAAAGTGGTATCATATTAGAGACTAATGATTTGAGAAAAGATGATGCAGTGTGAAGTTGTACCTTCCGGTATATTTTACATCTAGAGTAAAATAAATAACTTTACTTCCACACACAAAAACAAAGATATAATAGTAAGATATTTAGGTTGGCTGTGTATTTACGATTACAAACAATTTCAGGTGACGGATGCCATAGTGCCTAACTGGAGCAGCTTCGATGCTCTCGGTGTATGAATGAATCGTGGCAAGCCGATATATTTTATCCTGCTCGAGGATAACATTTTGGGATTTTTTTTATAGTGATCAGATAAAAATTATCAGTAACCACCAACAAAAACCGTAGGTTAAATACCCCGTGAAGAAAAATGTGATAAATAAGATGTCCCTGCATTCAAAATGAGCAGTCCTTGGGAAATCAAATTCGGCACTTTACGCTAAGGTTTTCCTCGCTGTACCCATTTAATAAAGTTGCTTCCAAGCAGATCCGATGTCCGTGCTACATATACGTCACAGGTCCCTTCTGTTGATGACTTGCTGAGCCGCCACGCGTGCCTGAATGCCAGGGAAGGCGCGCACCGTCAGCCACTTTTCTTTTTTTTGTTCACGATACCGAACAACCTCATTTTCGTCCAGATATACAAGATGCACGCCTTTCAGTTTCTTTGATAGAACGCTCACCATTGTCCTGGCCGTCTGAATTGCGCTTACTGAACGTTCTCTCAAGTTGTTCAGCGTGGCCTGGTGCTTCACGAGTCCGCCAACTCCGTCACATGCATTTTTCCCATGTCCAGATGCAAAAAATAACCACTGGGCTTGTGGGCAATCGTCCTTTGCAAATTGGTGAAGCTGGTAGCGATTCTTGAAATGACTGGCGGCGCCGTTACTTACGTACGTCACGTACGAGTATACCGCAACGTTGTCTTCAACCCACTCCTTCACTTTTTCTAGAGCCAAGTAAGCGTGAGCGGCGTCGTGACACAGGTCCTCACTGATGATGGCAAAGCTGTTTGTAGATTTTCTTGTCGTCACTACACATGTAAATATCGAAACTGTTTTTTTTTTTCCAGTGATATGCTTGCACTTCGTCAGGAAGCACGATGGTCCAGTTTTCAGCAAAGTCAAAATGAAAGACAATGCTCCCGCGTTGCATGCACTGTTTTTCATCGTAGATCGCTTTACCTTGCGTTTGCCGGATATGGTTGTGAAGTACCCAACTTCCAACCGTCACTTGGATGACTTTTAGGAAAGTCTCAGGTTCCAAAGTTTTTTTCACAAGGTCGCCGGATTCCCATGTTGCAAGCACAATCTCTTCATCCTCCGGGATATCAAGTTCCTGGAGTGTAAGAAACTGGCCTTTTGGGCAGTGATCACAGTCTCCTTGAAGGCACAGTTCTGTTGCTGGGTCGCACAGAAATGCCGAGTTCATTTCACCAGTGTTGAATGTTGAGCCTGTAACGTTCTCTAGAGCGGCAATACAAAGATAATAATTGGCGCAGCGCACACAAACGCACACCTCCTGGTGTGGAATACATTGGACCCATCTAGGGCGCAACGAATAAAATTTCGTTAGCCCAACGCCGGAATCGGGATGCTTGTCTTTGTACACATGGAAGGCCTCTCGGATTGAGCGTGTCATGAAGCGCTT